AGCCCTACAAACAGCTAATTGACAAGAAGTCAAAAAGTTTAATTCATTCTATTTTTTTTGTTCTATTAACTGCCAGTCTTAACTAATGAAACCCTGTATTAGTTTTGAGTCTTATGTCTTAGTAGTGAAGCATTAACAAGGGTGAGTTATCTCCCCTGTTAATGTTTAACTACTAAGTTAACTACTGCTCCTTCGAAATAATGTCTTAATGCCAGACTTTGCGTTTGAGAGCAAGCTTAGAGTTAATTCCAGACAGAGTTACTTAAAGTTAATACTCAGCCAAAGTTAACATCTTAGATATTATAACTGGACATTTCGGATAAATAAATTTAGGATAATTGAAGTTTGTATGGAATCTCAGTTACGATAAAAAAATAAAATTAATCTAAAGTAACGATTCTGAGTTATAATCAAATGTATTTTATAATCTTTGCATTATTTTAAAATATAGATTTTATTATAATGTTTAAATATAATGATTAAAATATAATATATCAAAAAATTATAATATTTGATTATGATATTATGATTAAAATATAATATGCTGATATAACATAATGATTAAAAATATAATATGCCAGATGTATCATGATATCAATATTTAATATTGATATTAAAATACTTTCGGCAATCTCTCTTTGGATAATAATACCGCTATTAAAAATTTATGACAAACTTAAACAGTTGTAATTCTATTCCTATGTATCCTGAACTGGAAAAGTTAGAAAATCTCCGAATCACGGGCAGCATATAAGCATTCTGTACCGCGCCACGCACATGGGGAGGGGAAAAATTCCTCTACGTGATTGGATTTGGCTTTCGATGACAACAATTCTTCTACACTTAAGAGCGCCTTGACTTTGCTTGGGTTCGATGGTACATCTCCATACCGTTTGTTTACGTTTTAACAGCAGTATCGAAAAGATTATTACGTGTGTTGTATTTTTGTTGCTATGAGGTTACACTTCTTACAACACTGTAGTGTGGCGAATTTAATACAAAAAATGTAGAGATTTTTTTTTCCTAGAGAGAAAAAGTATTATTTTTCACGTGCAGCTCTAAATGTGTATTAATAAATGTATTCTTAATTTGAAATCTTTCATATTAAAGGTGTTGTGATGAATATTTCCTGTTCATTATATACCATTCTCTGCAGATGCAATCTCCGAAGGCATGAGACAAGTCAGTTTTCGGAAATAGCAAAAACGATGTTGGGGGTTAACACAGTACACAGTAAATTAACAATATTCATAATCAGTCTGAAAAAGTAAAAGTTTTTGTTTTGAATTTATATTTAAATTTTTTATTTTGAATATAGATTTGGAACAGAGAAAGAGACTACGAATTTTTAATTGAATTATTTATTCTTTCATTTAAGGCAACAGAATGTAAGAAATGTGAAAGACATGGACTTTAACATGGAAAATAACATTTGCAAAGGAAACATTTTCTGCAATGTAAAACGAACAGAATGCAACAAAATTGCAATAATAATAGTATACTTACTAGGCCCAAGATGCCTTTACAGTTGGGTCGAGATCATCGTGTTTTCATTTTTGCATTTAATTCATGAAATCAGCTATTTATATAATCTCAGCGCTTAAGATTGCCTCTGATATTAACATTACCTTTGAAAGATTTAATAATTTTATTATTCCATGAAACAGGAAACTATGTGCAGAACGCTTCAGCTAAATATTTTCGTTTCAAAGAAAACAAACGGTAGTTTTCACGCTTTTGTGTCACTCATGCGTGTCATTAAACGAAAAATCAAAAATAAGAATCCCGCTTAAACGCCATTAAATTAAGACAAAATGATGTCATCGGATATTATGTCCAATCAGAAGTACGGATTTTTTCCTCATGCGCGTGGCGCGGTACAGAATGCTTATATGCTCACGGGCACGCATCCAATTCTTTTGCTCATTCTATTTATTTTTCTAAGTTTTACAAATCAGAAAAGTTCCACGAAAGTTTTGTAATGCTTCTAACTACTTTGTCTATTCTAACGTAGTGGAACTTACTGAACTAAATTGTGACTTATCGCTGAGTCAAAGTGTGTAAACGACAAAGTCCAGATAAGGGTTAAATTAACCTTTTATTCACTCAAAGAAATAATGAAATTCGGTTCCTTCTCGGGCTTACAGGAAAGCCTTCACTTCGGCTCAAGCTAAGAAAATAAGAAACTAATTTAATGCTAAACTAAGCTGACTTAGCCGAAGCTGTATACAATTACCTAACGTAATTGGCCCTTAATCAAACTAGCCGGTGACTATCAGCAAGCATGTTACAATACGGCCAAGCATAGTGAACTTAACAACGATACTTTGATACTTGGTCGGTATACTGGCCTGCAGCAGGTGAAAGTTTTCCCTACTCTTGCCAGTTACTGAGAGAGTCCCATTAGGGCCTGACCTGTGATGTAACCGCAAAGAAAATTCTCCATAAGAGATAAATACCTGACGAGGAGAGAAGAGATTGAAAACTGATAACCAGGAAGAGCTGGAAACTGGTCGGTTTTTAACAACAATGTTGCCTGACGGCAAACACAGGACACTAAGGACTCATAAGCTTCTCTGTTGGAAGTAAGCAAAACTTCTTTTATGTACTCTTTCTACCTCATTTACATGGAATGCTATGCTAAAAACTCATTCTGGTAAGGAGTTGTAAGTAAGGAACAGGAATTTAAAGGAAAAGGTTACAAAATTTACAAGGATCTTATACTTTAATTTGAAATAAACATCACACCATTCTTCGGTATGCTTTTATTTACGAAAACGGTGTATATTTTAACTGACTTATCTAAATATGTAAAAACAAAGATTTATCACGATTTAGTAAACAAAGATTATTATTGTTTAAAATTAATAAATACCGTTCCAGAAACTACAAGAATGCAGAATATTTTCTGAGAAACGATCAAGTGGAAATCAAGAATTTTCCAGTGGCACAAAAGTTTCGAAAAGGAAGAGTATCAACAAAAGATAATGACCAAATTTAGGAGACCTTTCAACACAAGTAATGGTAGAATAACAGAGAAAATTTCACAATAAATAAAGAGCATTGCTCATTATTTATTGATGATGATTTATTGATTTGACTTATTGATGATAAGATGAGGGTTTATTGATATGACTTATTGGATTTATTCATATGATTTATTGAATTTAATGATATGACTTATTGGATTTATTGATATGACTTATTGGATTTATTGATATAACTTATTGGATTTATTGATATGACTTGTTGGATTTATTGATATGATTTCTTGGATTTATTGATATGACTTATTGGATTTATTGATACTGATGATGACTTACTGATGGTTAGAAATTTATCTGAAGTACTAAATATTCCACCCCCCTTCATTGCTCATACAATATAACTAAGGATTTAAAAGATGACAAAATTATGTATATTTTCAGGCTTCATTTCTCCTAACTCATAAGTCGGTACGCAGCACTATATAAGAAACGGCGTTTCATGGCGATACGTTTTAGCGCTTTATAGTAACAAGGCATGAGAACTGATGATGGTATGATCCCGAAATAAAGAGATAGATTGTAGAATGACGAGATCCTTTGTGTCCCGCAATGAAGAAAAAATGTTAATCACTTTTTTGACTCAAAAATGCACTTTTCTTCTAAATCCTTAAGAGAATCTTTTATTCAGAAGCAATGAAACGTTATCACATATCATAAGAAGAATGAGAATAGAATTGAGAGGGGAAAATTATTTGCTTCATGACAATACACCAAGTAATATAGCGATCATTTTCAAAGAATATTAATCTAGGCAACGAATTAAAGCACTGGAGCATCCTGCATATTCTTCATTCTACAATACTTTGAAAAAGTGACACATTTGAAACTCATTGCCCATTTTTCAAGCATAAACTGGAAAAAAAAAATCTAGAAATTCTTTCACAAACCAATCTCTTTGTGGATCTAGCCAATGATCTTTAACGATCTTTCCCGCTTTCGGTTTTCCTGCCAGACTGCTAATTTCTAGTTCACTCGTTTTCAAATGAGACATAAAGAGATAGTGTTTAAAGGAAGGTTTTAGATGGTAGAATTAAAGCATGTTCCACCTGCTGAAGACCGTGTTACTAATTAATTCTCTTGAAAGCAGTTTATTTGCGGCTTTGCGTTATTCTCACCCTGAGGTAAGATATCACGCCGATATTAGGTCTGAGCCAACTTGCGCGTTTTTCTGTCCGTCCAGCCTTCGGCTTAACTACAAATTTACTTGGTTCATTTCAATTCGTTACTTTTGATTTGCTCCATAAATGCTGGCTAATTCTGCAAGCACAAGCTTTGCTTTCTGTTAATTCATATGAGTTAATATAAGAGTCTTTTATACACTTTCAAAGTGTCTGTTATAATTTCGAAGACATAGCGATAGAAGTCGATTAAGTCCTAAGAGTTTTCATTCAGGTTATGTTACCAAAGAGGGTGTAACTCTAAAGCATGTGAGAATGACATGTAAATATCTAAATCTATCTAAAATATGTCTTTAAATGTTTAGAGTGAAACTCTATACCTTTAAACATATAACTAGAAGGCACAATCATTTCATTATTGATTGAATATATTTCTGAGCCCACAAAGCATCCTCATGCATGTATGGAACGGCAACAGCAAATTATGTGTCAACTAATTTACATAATCTGAGAATTATAAAGAGGAACTTTCTCTGGAACATATCATAAAGCATCGAAATATCTGGCTGTGCTTGTTGTTAATAAAATTAAGTATGTTTGATTTTAACTCTTGAATGAGTTTGAGGCAAAAGTTCGCAGTAGAAAATCAGTATGTAAATAACAATCTGAGTATTGCAGACATAGTAAGATTTCCCTGATTTCCTTTGAAATCATAAAAAATATTAAAATCGCAAAAACTAAGTATTGGATTATCTTAATTTTTATAAAGTTTACCTAGCATTTATTTTGGAGATTTGCTTGATGGTATGAGGAAAAAAAAGTGAAAAATAATAGATGATATCAACAAGCTTTATTACTTATTTTTAATTGAATATTCATTGGATAAGGAGGAATTTTGCAGAATTTATTTAAAAAAACAGTTTTTAAATGTAATTTATCAAAAACTTTCGAAAGCTCTGCATTTTCTTCGAACTGAAAAACTCGGTACAGACTGAAAATCAGTTCATCGCGGCTTGAGTGCCCTTCTAATGCTGAAAAATCATTGTATTTACTTCAGCAACGAAGCATCAGTTCTCAGACTTCGCAATTTTGTACCACAAATTCTTAACATTTTTCCGAATGGCATATTTACGAATCTCGAATTCCTTTCTGCACAATCGTTCGTATCATGTTCAAACTCATTAACAACACATTTTGAGGATTTTGTTCAAAACATCAGCAGCTCCCGACTTCGAGAAGAATATCCATTCACAAGACGCTTCCACACGAAGCCAAATGAGTGACTCTGAATCTGAGTATGGCTTCCTAATTGTTCTCAACTCATCTTTGTAAACTCATAACTGAAAAATTACTTTCGTATTCCTAATATTATTCTGGAATTATTTGTCCCTATATAATGGAAGATCAGGATGGTCCTCATATCCTTCAGGAATATGAATTTTAAGCACATGTCTTCTTTTGGCACGCGCTCTTGAATCACGATGTCTTCGAGGATATCTCTTACCTGTTGAGCTCTGACTGTTTGTAGAGAGTTTGCTACCGTAAAGAGGAGCGGTATAATCTTTTTCAAAATCTTTTTTAGATAGTTTGTCACCGAAAACATAATCAGAATTACTGTCAGGCTTGTTAAAATATTTTTCCAAATTAAATTCCTGAAATTTAGGGTCAGGTATCTCTGGGTATTTTGGAGATAACGGGAGAATAGATCTCAGCGGTAAAGCACTGCCTTTGTAAGTGTTAACAAATGAGGAATCCTTCGGAGAGGATAACTCTTCAAAATTAGGTCCAAAAACGGCACTTTTATCAAAAAATGAGTTTTCCTTGAAAACATCAGTGTTTTCCTGAGGGTTTATGAACCTATCTTTATCATGAATTAAATCTGAACTCGAGTTGTATCGCGAAAAGATCTTGCTGCTGTATTCCAGCTGGGGAGAATTCTGGATGGCATGTCGGAAAGCATTTCGGCCGTTTTCGGAGAGCACACGTACATGAGCTGGTTCGGATGACACGGTTCCTGGTTCATTGGTCGTGACTGTGGCTCGAAATCCTTTCCCATCAGCGACATATTCCACCCTTCGGAAAAGGCCACTAGCATCGACGAAACTGTAAAAACCAGTTTTGGAACCGTCTGGGTCCATCTTTTCTTGTCTGGATTGCATAGTTCCATAATCGTCAGAGAAACGGTAGCCAAATGTCAAAGGAAGCTTTGCACTTAATGTGTGGTCCTGTAATAAAGAAATTGTTAAAAAAACAAGAAAATATAAATTTATTAAAGCAAAAAAACTCATTAAGAAGCTAAGGAAAAGTGTTAACAATACTTAGCAGGAAATAAGATATTATTCTAAATAAAATCTTATTTCTCGTTTCAAAGTATTTATTAATTAGCATTCAATTTATATGATGTATTATTCTTAAGAATTAGAGAAAAATATACGAAACATATTATTATGTATTGGATGTATCTTGTGTCATATGTATCTCGAACCCAAAAGAAATTAATGGGCTCACCAACGCCCTAACGGTACAGTCGCTGAACACTGATAGTTTAATCCAGGCTGAAATCTTCGAGAACGTGTCTTCTCTAAGGTTACTTTACTGCAAGGTTTGCTGTTGTATGATACCTTTGACTCTCATTCTGTTCAAAAGCAACTATTCCTTTTGTGTTTTCGTTTCTTCCCTTGTATACGGGACGTCAGAATTGGAAAGAGCCTAACCTTGTTTTTCTACTTATCTTGGCTTTCCTCATGCGCACCGTGAATAGGAAGCAGGTTTCCTTAGAATCCTTCACGAAGGCATCCCTTCTCTTAAGCAGTGTAGTCTTCCCTTGCTTTACAACAGTCAAACAAACCAAACCAAAAGAAATTAAGATCGTGCAACAGAGTTTTATATAACGTTAGCAGTTTTAGACAAATTTCACTAAATTTGACCTTAAGTTTTCAAGGCTTTTAATTTTGTTTTAGAATTTACCGAAAAACATAAAAAAAGTTACTTTTTTCTAACAATTGTTATATATTGTTAAGAATTTTGTATTTAGATAGCTAATTTTAGTAGAATTATAATTAAAATTGTTCTATTTCCCAGTGCAATGCAGCGCGAGACAAATTTTAAGAGAAAGCTATACCGGAAAAATAAAAATAGAAGGGCACGTGCATTTAACGTTGAGTAATATCTTGGTAATTTGTATTGAAATTGAATAAATGTACTTGACCATTATGTTAGCTGTAATCGTAATTCCATGCTCTTATTGCTTCCCAGAAATCTCGAGAAGCAGAAATTACTAGAAATATCTCGCGACCGGTTGAAAAACTATAAAAAGCCAGAACTCAGCTCAGTGAAAACTGGAATCTCAGCTCAGTTGCTTACTTACTGTTGTTGCGAGTTGTTTAGTTCTGCGTGCAACTGTATCTGAATTAGTGTTTAGATACGCTTTGCATTGCGCTGTAACGTTTTTAGTAGTTTGAAGTATAACTACGGATTATACTCCGTGATATTGTGAACTATTGTACAAATATCTCTGAGGAAAATTCCAACGTTCTGATATATTTCTTTTGATAAGAATAAATTTTATTAACCTATTATCGGGCTTCTGCATTCAATCTATTACGAACCCGTACGCAGGCAACAGTATCTAGTGTAATGTATTTGCGTTGCTAGGATACCAACATAATTCCACTAAGAAATGTAAATTACCGCAGACGATTATCCGCAAAGAATATCCGCAGACGTTGCGTGAGCTTAAAAATGTTTTTCAGTTATTCTGTAAGTTTTGACTAATAAAGTTTGTTGTTCGTTCAAAAATGGCGAGAGTTCTTTAAAACTTCATTACAGCAGGTTATGTACTTTAAACTGGTTCTTGTGCTCATGGACAATGAGCGCCTTTAATTTGATAAATGCAACTGCCATTAGCTTTCCTGATTTCGGAATTTCATATTTGTGTGCCATTTATTTTCAGAACTTTAGTAAAGAATAACTGCAAGCATGCTTTTAGGTTTTGACGATATTTTCAGATGCATTGATTCTATGAATCATTCATCATATACGTTCTATCATTAACATAAAATATTAATATTTCCTTACCTGAGCAGCGTTATTCAGGTTAATTTATCGTGGTCAAGACAAGAAATAAATTCAGGGAAAGGTGCTGCCATTTTGAGCCTCAAAAGCTATAAGGTTCTTTTATAAAAAAATAACATTGCTCACTATACGCAAATCTTTATAACAATAAATCATACCTAAATTATTTTAAGTTGATTTTTTAAGCAAAAATATGCATCATGTATTAAAAAAATATAGTACGTGGCAAAATGGGCAAAAAAAAAGAAGGGATCTGAAATATACATAAAAAATAATTGCTGTAGATTGTAATCATCTTCAATAAGACTGTCATTAACCATCCTTTATCTTTAGTGATTTGTTATTAACGAACTGGAATCCGACCTCTGGTTACATCACTGAAGTATCGCAAGATTTTTTCTGCAGTTGTAATGACCCTTAACTTCATTGGGATTTAAGTTGAGGTTAAATCGTTAAGGCTGCAACACTTACTGTGATAAGGTGGTTGCTATTTTGGAACATGGAGGTTGTTTAGATCAAAATTAATGAATCGGATAATCTTTTAAAACTTACGCGACTGCGGTGCATGCAACATGTTATAAAGAATGATGTTGCTGGATTTACTGAACAGTTAATTACTTTTGATGCAGTTTTCGAAGTTCCTGAAGCATTTGTGAAGTGAAGCTTCTATTAGTTTGCGTAAAAATAATCATTGAAAAATTGTGTAATTTTTCTATTTTGTATTTCAAAAAAGATTTTACGTTTAAATATTTCTTTCGAGGTTGGTTATAGACTCATGTTGGAAATTTATGAAATGAATAAAATAAGGTAAAGTGATAAAATATATTATTATTTGCGTGTTCCGCCCTAAGGCATTACACGGAACAGAAGGATGACTTATTGGAGGATTTTCTAAGGGAAACTGGATCGTATTAACACGTTACACACGAGGAAAACCACGAAACGCCCATGCAGCCAGCCCGTTCGCGAGATTCAAACTTCCAACCGAGCTACCAGTGTTCAAGGACTTCACCGTTCGGCCGCTAGTGGGCAAAGGTGGCAAAATAAACGATACATATGTTTATCTCAAAACTTCATTTGTCGAGTTATACTACTATTCAAACCCATAAACTATTTATCACAGTAAATCAAAAACTTTTTACCTTATTAATAATTTGATTTTTACCGAAACTTCTTGTTTTCTATTATTTATTATGAATTTTATCTTTAAATTTGATGTGCATTTATAAGTTGCTCCCATACAAAAATTAACGAAGTGTTACTTAGTACTGAATGTCACTGAACAGTTCTCCGAGAGAGAGAAATTAATTTTAGACATCAATTTTCTGTAAACCCACATCATTCCAAGAGCACGTAGATTCATTATTATGGGAAAACATCAGAAATAATTTCTGTTGACTGCTAGATATAATCAGCATATTAAAAAAATTCCCATTAAGTGTACAATGCTGTAAGAAAAAGATAGATCAAGATATACAATTCTGTATAATTAACAGAGATCTGAGTGGGCTTCTTCACAAAAGTATAAGCTCTAATACGCAGTTCCATAAAACGCTGATGTTCGAAACCGATTATTCTCTAGAAAAAGTAGACCTTTAAAAGCAGTATTGACATTTGCCATATAAGCATTCAAAAATTCAATACTGTTCATAAAAACATTGTGCCTCTGCATTCCAGCAGATATTTCTCAAACAATGAGCACTGATTAATAATATTCTGTAATTAAATAATTTGGTTATTTGCGTATGGTTGTTAAATCTAACTTTAGTGTTCACAGGTTTCTATATTTTTGGATTTAGAAACCGTGAAAATTTTCTAATGGAAGCGAAAATGTATATGAGTAAAAATTTTTTATATGATAAGCAATCAGTAGTTTTTTAGGCCGCAGCTCGAGGAAACTATCTTTTTTTGGGAACGATGCCTTCTGTTTGGGAAGAAATGAAGTATTTTGAAACGAAATAACATTAGCTTTGCATAATTATTCTTTTGAGCAAAAGTAACGCTATTTGTCTAGGAATCAAATGAATGCATAAAAAATTATTTCGAAAGTAAAAATAGTTAATTTCTTTTCCTTTCATTTTTAAAAACATGGAAACTTAAAAATCCACTGGTTATTTTCCTTCTGCTTAAAAGACTAAGTGACCCAAAGCAAAGAAGAACAAATCTATTTTAGCGAAACTGTCACATGTCTACTGCTGTTTTTCGTACTGAAACAAATAGACAGCTGAAACTAGGATTTCGCGAAGACGATACATCATTGTGTGATCTGCAACAACAACTATTTTTAGTGGTTGAATTCGATACTTGTTCAGTGTCAATAAAGAGGATTTTTACCTGTTACAGATTACGTGAGTTGGCTCTAGATGGGTAGAATATATTTACGTCAAAGTGGACTGAAGTTCATTGTGGTTGTATTGCAACAATTTCGGGGACAAATGTCGGATAACAAGATTTTGAAAATAGCACAACTTTATTTTTCGGAAGTCGTTTCCTTAAATACATTAACTAGTTTGTTGGAAAGCTCATGATGACATAGGCAAAGCCCGAGTTAATAAAACAGCCGTAACAGCTATTTTGGTGATTTGTGCCAATGGAACGCTTTTAGAGTCTTGCAGGCATTTAATTACACAGCTGCGCAAGATGTAACTGATACGCCAAATCCAAATATAACATATAATTATAGTGCATATAATTTGCAGATTATTTTTCCAGCTTCGTAATATCTTTTTTACATAAAAATCGAGGATTTCTATAGAGACAGCAGCACTAACAGTTCATGAACTTACATACCTGGTTATTGGAAAATTAAAGAATTCTCTGAATAACTTGTCACTATCAAAAAATAATGAAGTACCACAACGATATACATCATTTTAAACTGATTATTCTTGAGCTAAGAGATGCTGTGACAAAAGTCATGGCACGTTGTGCATATCAGTAAAATTTGAATTATCCCAGAAAAGAAGCCGGAAGAAGAATGTTAAATTTACTCAGTTTTAATTCAAATAAAAAGAAATCACAACTCTAGAACTATTTGTTGAATTACACAGGGTGAATCTGAATAAGAGGACAAAACTTCTGGAGGTGATAGAAGGCAGCTATACGAGCAATATTCATCATAGAATGTATGGTCGAAACGCAAAGGGCGAGCCGCTAAGGCACTGCAAATAAATGGTATAAAACGGGTAGGTCTTCGCACCCAACGGCATTTTCTACCGTGGATTACGGAGAGAATTGTTGGTTATACGAATTATGAAATTTCCAGGGCAATGGATTGACCGAGGTGGTCCCACAGCTTGGCCACTAAGATCACCGGATCTCTCGCGTTTGGTCTTTTTCCTGTGGGGCCATATGAACAACATAATCTTCGAGTCTCTCATTGAAATCACTCTTGTTGCCGGCGATATCCGGAAAAAGCCTGATGTCTGCGCAAATGCGCTACTCCCTATCCCGCTGGTATGAAGCCTAGCAATTTTTGTGAGCATGTTCTGTTCATAAAATGTTTTGTGAAGTATTTTCACTTATTCTTGTGTTAATTCTTTAAACGCGACAATGGAAAATTATCCTTTAACTTCTCACCACTTGCGTTCCGACCATACATCCTGTGACGAATATTGCTCGTATCTGTCACCCCCTAAAGTTTTGCCCTCATGTTCAGATGCACCCTGTATATTTGTTATATAAACTTTTTTTGCTCCTTAAAGTAACACTTTTTTTTTCACTTCTGTAGTTGTAAGAAATCATAATCGCTTTAAAGTTAGGGGTTTTTATCACAGACAACTGGAATTACCGTACTCTGTGATTTTCTCATTAAGCTCAAATTCCGCTAAAGACAAATATAGGCTTAAGCGCTAAAACGAAACCTTTCTTAAATCGAAATGAGATAAAGAGCTGAAAACTATCATTAGCCCTATTAGTATAAATAAAAAGAATACTTTAATAACCACTGCCAAGGCAAATTTGGTTAGGCCGTTTACCATTTTCGTTTTGAAAAACAACAAAATTTTAAAATTGATGGATATCGCATTTCTATCAATAAGTCAATTAAAATAAAGCTATTTAATAAAAAGCACAAATTTCTTACACTGAAAAATTTTTAACTTTTTCGGGACTTCAGAATAGGTTACAAAATCATAATAAATAGCACATGAACATAAAATTAACATTCGTAATATGATAATTAATAATGCCACAGTTTACATAGAATAAAATAGAAGTGAGACTTTGGGATACTATGCATATTTTATTTAAAATTAATACCTTTTTGCATCAGTACAATGAATGACATGACATGTCAATGATTGAAGTCACTTCCGTGTGTTTTCATTTGTAAATATTGAAGAAACATTATTCTTTCTGTTGACGATATCATTAAAAAATTGCCCAGCTCTATTTTAATTTTGAAGGAGATTCCCTTTTGGAACAGTTTCGAAGGTCTTTCACCTCTCTTTTCCTTCCACCATCCTCTCGAGAGTTCTTACGGTTCAACAGCACTTTAAGTGTCTCCACAAAGACCCTATACAATTGCAAATATCCATGGGATTTTAACTCGGCTCTAAGGACATGACACATGACTGCCCTGTTTCCGTGGTGGTACACGCACTTGTCTTCTTGGCTAAAATTCCATTCATCGATAATCATATCCCGTCGTGTGTGCTCACTGTTGTGCAAAGCGATCCAACTACCTGCTTGACCAAGATGGAAGAAAACCGGTGCATCCTTTCATTAAGTATTTCGGAATGCACAAATAAACATGGCTAGGGCAAATTCACTATGAATCTTACAAATTTTATTTTGACGTTTAAAAACGAATATTCTTGCCTTACGCAGATCCTGATCTCGTTCATTTAAAACCTTAGCGTTTTAATGCAGTAGCATAGCTATAAAAACGAAATTTAAATTTCTGCTACAGTCAATTTCAAGAAATTTTTATTCTTACGATGAATTTTGATAATGCCTTTTTGTTAACTTCTACTCTAATAGTTTTGAATATTTAATAAGATTTGTGGTACAGATTAGAAAACGATCTTTCTGTTAACCAAATATTCCAAATAATTTTGTGAAACTGTATGTATGTTAAAACTAAAATAACCTATAACAGTTCTAAAAAGAGCACAACGGTTTTTTGTTTTTCTTTCTCTTATTTTGACAACGTATATCTTGTTCCAAACAGATTATTGGATATCCAGACCTTCTATGGCTGAGAAGTTTCTCTATGTCTGTACTATGAAAACCATCTAAATATCTACGCACGGAATGATATACGTTTTCTTCAATAACTGCTCCGTTTTGAATACTGATTTTATTAAAGTTTGAAACAGATCTTGATACCTGCTTTCCTATTCATAATGTTGTTAATGGTTCCCAAGTAGCCTAGCAGTGGGATTAAAGAGTACTACAAGACTGCAAATTGTAAATATTCTTAAGGCCTTTCACAAACTACACTTAGATTAAGCTTGTACCTGAAACAATGAAAAACAAAATGTCTTATTTTATAACTCTTAAATTGTACATGGTAAATTTAAATATTATTTCGTAATTCGAGATGTATTTTATATAATAATTGCGCGAAGGAAATGCTGATAATTGTTTTCATTTTTAACGAAAGTAAAAGTACTGTTTGGAGCTCTTTCTGCTAAAAAAATTACGCTCTAATATGAGCCTTGTATAAAGACGAAGTAGAACAAAGTTAACTTTCGTAAAGCGGGGAATACCCGCATAAATATATTTAGATACTTTTCAAACTTAATTAAATTTTTTCTTCTTTAGTCTGTGATTCTGTTGCACGAAAATAGTTATATAATAAATTAGAATATTAACAGAAAGATCTTTCAGATTAATTTAGGTTAAAATAACACACCGAATAACGATTATTGGAGAAGTTAAACAACAAGTAAATCAAACAATATATAAAAAATCTATAAAATCTATAAAATGTCTCGCTAAAAGAACATGAGGCATACATTAGGAAAAAGAAAACTCAGAAATCCTCTCTTTTCCAGCACTGTCGGCCAGAAAATCAAACTTTCCATTTTTCTGCAGTCAAAATTATTCAAGAAACATTTTGCATTGGTGAATTAGATTCTCTAGAGGCGTTTCATATTCGAAAAAATCTTTCTGTTCTGGTTAACGAACCTAATTCTCATCCATCTTTATCCTCAGCCTTTAGGGAAATTATGTTTTAGTTTTCTTGTTTCATCAGTAGATGGCACCAGTAGTTTGACTTCTTTCCAGTCATTCTTGTCCTATCACCATATTCTATCTTGTTTATTTGCACTTAGGCAGCTGAAAAAGTTGGTTCTGTATTTAAATCCTCGGAACTAGTTCTGCAAAATTTACAAATATTACGCTGATTCTTGTTTAATTTCTCCAATAATCTTTCAGATTACAAACGCTTAGCATGACCAGTAGTAACAGTGAGATCATGTAGTAAAAGGGAGATCAAAAGATAATTAATGTCCACTCAACAAGATTAATTCTTTTCTTACAATTACGAATACACAACTTTATGAGGGAGAGCTTACTAAGAAAATATAAGCTGTTAGCACTATAAGAACAAAAGGAAATAATTTATTACTCAATGTGAAAAAAGTTTCCGTGTATTTAGCTTCTTTTAAATGGCTATAACATTTAGCGATTATTTTTTTATTACTATTATTAGTGAAAAGGTAAAATATACAGTTATTTCAGTTTTGTACACACATATTTTTTTATTACTATTATTAGTGAAAAGGTAAAATATTCACAGTTATTTCAGTTTTGTACACACATATTTTTTTATTACTATTATTAGTGAAAAGGTAAAATATTCACAGTTATTTCAGTTTTGCACACACATATTTTTTTATTAATATTATTAGTGAAAAGGTAAAATATTCACAGTTATTTCAGTTTTGCACACACATAGAAATGAACAATAAAAAATGGGCATAATACAGAATGAGACCTTACATTTTCAGGTATAGCATATCTACGAGTAAAGCTTTCAAGACGCTTCAATTCTGGATTAAAAGAATTTGAATTTCGAGCAATTGGAACTGCTTTGCAACAGAATGCTGTCAGAACCTGCAAGAAAGTAATCAGTTTTAATTTAAAATAATACAAATTAAAATTTAAAACTAAATAAAACTTTTTCGTTACTAGCATCACATAAAGCAGTTAATAACTGTGAACGGTTTATTACGACCGTCCCAGTTAGCATTTGTTTTATAAATGCCCACAGCCATTACCCCTGGTGGGAAGGTATGGAATCTGGTATCTCTTACTAGGTTAACCCTAGTCACTTGTATACAACTTTAACAGCTTGACGATATGTTGACGTCACCCTACGGCCGTTTTCGCTACCCTTCATCCTGGAGCCATTTTTCAACAGGATAATGCTAGATCAGATAAGACTGGTATATCTCTGGACTGTCTCCGAGATTTTTATGCTCTTCCTTAGCCAGCAAGGTTACCAGACCTTTCGCCAGGGCCGTGATACTCAAGCACCCCAAAATGTCGATGATCTAGAGACAAAATTGAGAAACTCCTGGCAGAGTGTATCGCAGGATGAAACTAGGAATCTTTATCACTTCCTACCCCCATGATTACAAACACGTATTGCAGCCAGGATGGTCACTAGCAACTGATATGAACATTCAATCTGCAACTGCTAGCCACTGATTTGTCCTATGTCCTTGAATTTTGAATCATGTCATTACCTGAGTGTGAGCTTTACGCATTCATTACAATAAAAACAGTCACTTTCTTCATGATGCTTGGTATTTTTTCCTTTTGCCAAAGAGTGTACATGAGCTATTATTTTCCTCTCATCCTTTCTTTGAGCATGCACCGCGAAGGTTTTTGGATGCCCATATGCAAATCTTTGTTTGTGTGCTTGTGGCTTATCCCACCCGATTGAAAAAAATATCATATCAGGTGTCTGGCAAACCCACAAAATTCATCGTGGCAAGGGGTCAAGATAGCTAATGTCATTGGTAAGAGCCTTGAACACCATATAGGTGACAATACGACTTAGTTTAGTTCCGCGCCTAATTTTGATGGATAGCACCACGGGCGAAGGATCAGCCACTCTTCTTCGCCTACTATCAACCTCTCGAGAGGACTTTCTGCTCACCACATATTACAGTGTCCCCATGCCGCACAGAAACTCTACATTTACAAATATTTATGCTTTCTCCGGGATTCGAACCCGGGCGCTTCGGTATGGCAGTCAGCTTCGTTAACCACTATCTCGAATGGGCGACATGCAAATTTTTTGCATAGTTAAGTCGATATCGTTAGACATAAACTAAATGGAACGACTTGAAACAGTTACTTGAAGCAAACACTGGAATTAGAGTTGGAAGGACAGTACACAAGAATGGCAATAGCGCGAAGTCCTTCCCAGGTTTTCCAGCCTAGCAATCTAGGCAAATCAAAGGTATATAAACAAATACCATTTTTTTAAATTTAGTTTAATTTGCAGATTTTTATGAACTAAGATTAAGAATCCCTTGCGTATTAACCAGGAAGTGGTCGTGTTTCGTTTATTTAGTTCAGGAAAAGCGCGAAAGGGTTAACTACTTAAGAGAAGGATACGTTCATGGATAAATTTCTAAGGAGAATTGGCTCTTATCCACGTTACACATGTGGTAAACCACAAAAACGCCATCGCAGCCAGCTCGTCTTGAAATCGAACTCACTATTTACTCAGAACTACCAGCACTCAGAGACTTGACCGCTCGGCCACTGGTCGGCCAATCAGAAAGTAGAAAATCCATAACATTAGGTTGTTGAATAATATCAATTAACATGCATATTAATTTTCATTTCATTGACTACAGATAATGCGTTTGTAAATAAATTCATTTAATTTTGATTCAAGTCTAACTGTTCATTTTACACAGCATTTAGATGCAGTTATCTAAGCGACAAACTGAGATGAATCGAGCATATTCATATAATTTTAAACTGAGAATTTAAACCTTTAACTCTGCAGTATTGTGTTCATAATAAAACAAAAAGCTCTTTCAGATATCTTAATAAAATGTTGCTGCTTATGAAAAAAAAATATTTACTCATCTTTTCTTTGAATGTGCGAAAACAAAAATTTCACTTAAAGCAGCCAATAATCTGAATTATTTGAAAAATTAAAATGCACGTCTTAATTGTATTAAAAACTGAGTAATATAGTATAAAATTATTATTCGCTTATTGGTGCTAGTAAAGCAGTTGAGTTTCCACGTCATGTTCTGTTACGCTTATATTACATTACAATATATATTGATTATCTTCGTTGTCTAATGAACTGTCGATTTGAAAGTTGTTGCCACTCTTCGAATAAAAGAAATTTTAATTTTCCTTTAGCAAATTGCTTATTTTAAGACTGTTATCTTTTAGGAGCAAACGACTTTAATGGCGTTTTTAGGTTGCAATAGGAATAAATTTTGTGTATTTTTGTTTACCAAATGTTAGTTCGCTGTCGATTTTAACATACGGTTGGGGGAAAAAAAAAAAAAAAAGACATGTTTTACTTTTTTGTTTTTAAAAAGGCAAGAAAGCAGCTGAGGTTCAAGAAGAGATATGGAAAGTTTATGGTATTGAGTGCTGAACAGAACGCATGTGTCAGAATTGGTTTAAAAACTTTTTTCTGGATATTTTTCACTTAAAAACGATCAACGCTCTGCCCGACGTCTATTTCCACCCCAATTTTCAGGGAGAACATCCCAGGGGGGCCGAGAGTCTGCTACTCCTCTTCCCAGGTATCAATCCATACGAGAGGACATTCGGCTCGCTATAAGTTTAGAGTGCTCCCTGTCGCAAAGACACTATACATTTACAAACATATATGCCTTCTCCGAGATTCGAGTCTGCGCCCTTCTATACCTCAGTAGGCTCCTCCAACACTATGCCACCAGGGCGACGTTAAATATCTGAATTCACAACAATTGAAATCGCATACGATATCTTGGACTAGTTTAAGAGCTCGATTTTTAGGTTTATCGTGAATTGAAAGAAATTCACTTAACACAAGGAATCAATATTTGTGGAACGTATTTAAAACATAATTGCAATCGAACTTTTTTTTTAAACGAATTATCGCTGGTGAGGAAAAATGGATCGTCTACAGTAACATTAATCGAAAAAGATCATTGTCTAAACATGATAAATCAGCGCAAATCATTTCGAAAGCTAAATTACATCAGAAAAAGATCATGATGACCATTTGGTGAGATTACAAAGGTGCTGTATATTCTGAGCTGCTTCAGAGCAACCAAAAGATCAACTCGGATAATTACTGCCAATAACTAGAGAAATCGGAGGAAACAGTCAAAGAGAAAAAAACCAGAATTCGCAAATAGCAAAGGAATAATGTTCCAACATGACCATGCGGCGCCTCACACATCTTTGGCAACATGTATGGAATTACTGGAGCTTTGTAAGAAAATGACGTCACATCCCCCATATATTCCCGACCTTACACCACCAGATTGTCATTAATTTCGAAGTTTACAAAACTTCTTAAAAGGTAAAAATTTCAGTAGTATCAGTGACTTCTCAATGGCACTTAGTTGAGTTTTTTGTTGATAAAGACCATAATTTCTACGAACGCGGGAAACCATGATGTTATTACGAAAAGGCCAAAAGCTCATAGAATAAAAAAATGGAAGATATTTAATTCTAAAGTTCATTTTCGTTTAGAAAAAATATAATTTTATTTCGCACTGTAAAAACGAAGCTACTTTCTCACCAACCCGATATTATGTCACATTTAGACATAATGGTGCTCTATGTAAGATAACAAATTTTCCTTTTTATGTTTTTTAACCTCTTTCACTTCAGTAAAACTTCGATCTGATAACAGGAAGAATAATACAATTGTTTGCGGTATTTTACTTCTTTTCTTATCATACAATAAAATCAACAAATACTTCTAAAGTGAATAATGCGTTTCATGCTATGATGCCCATATTTTAAAGTTTCGATACCATTGCACTATCAACCATTCAGGCAAATGTGGATATGAATCTTTTAAACCTCATTAAAAACTAATTTTTAAAATCAACAGAATAAGATAGCTACTATTCTTCAGATTTCTGACAGAATAAGAAAAGTATTACTTTTCAATTGAAACAATTTTAATGCTATTTTCATAATAATTTTCGGAAAAAGATTCATTAGGATACTTAAGGCTTTTCGGAAAATTCACACTGCTTAACATTGACTTTCCAGTAAAATGCCTGACTGAGTGATATTAGTTGTCAAATCTTATGTAGCACTGAATTAAATTGATTACCACGTAGGCTATCATGGAATTAGAATTATTTCCTTACGAATTTTAAAATTCTTGGGATTTTTATTGTTCAATACATTTTACTTCAGTTTAAGAGGAAAAAATTAATTTATTAATATTATTTAAATTAGAATATTACTTAAATTAATTTAATATTACTTAAATTAGGAAAAAAGAATTAAAAAATCTGAAAGCCTTCAGATTTTATATTACGCCCAAAGGGACGCCTTTTTTCTAACGTTTTGTGTGTTACCTTTATTTATTAAATATCATGTTCTCCGCACTTAAACCATAAAATCCAATCCGACATCAATATCACAAAATATTTTAAAAGAGCATATTTTTAGAATTTCCGATACATAGTCTCGTGCGTCGGAGATAAAAATGTCTTTTTTCCCCTTTGCAGTGTTGCCATTGATCGCTTTGAATTCGTTGAGTATGTTAATCGAAAATTCGTTAAAGATTTACAAAATAAGAAACAGATAATAAAACAGATACCAAATTTGGGCTTCCAAATGCCCATATTCAAGTGCAGGACTACGTTATTCAAAATTTAACGTCTCTAGAGTTGTTTTTTCACAATGCGAGAAACATACATTCATTCATGCAGATTCTTCATTATTAAATTTCTTTAAATATAATAGAGGACGATAATATTTCGTGGCAACAATTTGAAAAGTGAAACTTCGTTTAAAGTGAATGACGCAAAATGCCAAAAGGAAATTAAAACATGCCCATTAATAAATAAAACATCATTCATCAAATTAATGTTAAATTAAACATTAAATCA